GTGTGCAGGTATTGGAAGCTGGGAAGATTGATTGGAAAGTTTGATAGCAGTTACAGAAACCAAACAACTCCTTCCCTCTGAAGCTCCACCAAAACACCATATCAAAACATCCTATTCCCCCTTGTGTCACTGAGGAAGGGATGGAGGAGGAGGTGAGCCCATTGAACGAGTTACCTTTTCTGAGTTCTGCCTGTTTTATTCCTTTCCGGAGTTCTGACGGCTGCTTCTCCTGCGACCAGCTTCTGAGTTCCATTGAGCCATCTCCCTCCACTGCCCAACTGTCAGGGCAGAGTCTAGGCACGAAAGCATACACCCTGCTGAAGCTAACTTCCTTTGTAAAGCCACACACCTACTTGATCTTGGATCCAGTTCTTTCTGGGAATATAGATACCTGGGGGAAAACCTGTAAGCCAGGCAGATATGGATTGGTCTGACCACTAGACTGATTATTCCCCAGACTGATACGATCAAAGGAACCTAGTTCAGAATTTTTAAAGGTTTTTTTGTTTGTTTGTTTGTTTTTTGTTTATTTGCTGAGTGGCTGGAAAAGACTCTCAGGGAGCCTCCCACCCAAGGGAGACATCACCTGAATAACATCCTCCCATGTGATGCATTGTCTTGGTTCTTCTTTGTTAATTTTCCATATAAAATTTGGAACTACCCTTACTAGATCTGAAAAAAAAAAGCTTGTTGTATTTTTTCTCTAGGATAAGATTTAACTTATAAATTTATTTAGGATGCCTGATGTCTGTATATATTTTCCTAACCAAGAACAAGGTAGGCTTTTCCATATGTTTAGGAGTTATTTTGTTATCTTCAAAGGTATTTTCAGGCATATTCATATATGTCTTACACATTTATTAAATTATTAGATTAAATGTAATTATTTTTGTATTATTTTTGTCCTACCACAAATGGGATATTTTACTAAATGGTTGTTGTATCATGAAAGCTGTTGCTTTCTGTATACTTATTTTTGACACTATTCTCTTATTTTTAGTCTCTTGGGTATATACTT